TCCTATACAAATATATATGTGAGCTTGTGGCTAGCATGAACCTGCCAAATGCAATGAAAAACTTCATTTTAAATATGGTAGGAAAAGGGTTATTCTTAAAGAAACTACAATCACAGATGCTATGAGCTCATAAGAAAACCTACATGTGCGTCGACAATATCACAATAGTTAAGGAACATGAGCGAAATATATCAAGTTACAACTGTACTGTAAAGTAATGCATTTATCATACAGGCATGCAGGTATTATTGTCTAACACATGGAAAACTCACCTGGATAAATGTTGCAGGACATGATGTAATGTTGATGAAGCTTTCAATGCTCTCAGCAATCTGAAAAGAACGAAAAGGAAAATTATCACTAACCTCAATCGGATTGCAAAGTTGAGAATTGAGTCCTAATGAAAATTTGAGAGTAATAAGCTAAGCAAGATTTAAAGTGTAGCAAACATAACACAATATGTGCTGTCTGTCCATCCAGTGTATTCACCTTGAATACTTTAATGTGTCATCAGTGAGCAATTAAGCAATGTTTCTAGAAGTAAAAATTGCTATATGGAAAGAAACCTGAAAAAATAACCGTGCAAAGAAAACTAGAATAAGAGTTTCACTCTCATTTGTGTTCTTCAATATTCCTGATTTGGTTTATTTAATATATTCCAATCTCATTTGCCCTAGTCCAAAAGAAAAACCTCCTTTTTCAGAGTCAATAGAACTGCTGCCACTTCTACTTAATAATCATTGACAACGAGCAATCCACAGAAGCACTTTGTCTCCAGCATAGTCAACTACTTTCTTTACTTTATATACAAACCTATGTTTGAGAAACATTAGAATCAGGAGTGATTAGTCATTTTGTCCATTTTCTTTCAATCGTTCTGAGACTTACTTTTTAATCAGAGTGATCTTTCATCTTTTCAATCTTCATTTTTTTTATTAGTGCAATGTTTTTATTATTAAATTTGTGTTCATTTATTATCTTTCTTGTTTATTTCGTGTGGTTATTTAATACTATTATCTAATTATTCTGTAATTGCATCCCTTCTCCTACACATCATTTAGCTCATGATTTTTCACTTGTAGCATTTACTTCTATGGTTGGACATTTGCTTTAACACCATTTGAATTTTAAAATAACTACAGTTTCCATGTATGATGTATCTATTAAATTTAGTTCCTCTAAGTGTACATTTATGTCTGTATGATCATATGTATATATTTACATGTGTGTTTATATAAGAGCGTGTGTTTCTTCATTTATCTAATTCTAATTACACATTAGTGTTAGTCTTAGTGATGTAGACCCAAAGCTGGAATCAAAAGAAGAAGGAAATAGTCAAATCGCTGATCAGTCGACCGGAGGAGGACATCCAGTCGACCGCGAACCCTGTAGAAAATTGAGGAGAAGATATCACTCTAGTTGGTCGACCGTTGCAAGATGGCGTCGACCGAGTGTGGTCATCTGGTCGACCGAAGGTGATGATCCGATCGACTGAAAACGTGCACCAGACCCTGTAAGAAAACTACGTTCTGGCCGTTCGATCGAAACATCATGTCCGGTCGACCGACGATGTTTTTTCCAGTTTCCTGTTTTGATCGGGATTCTGTTTCCACCCAGACTTCTATATATACTCTTGTATGTTTTAGGGTTTATAAAGACACGAAAAATAGAGGGTTTTGGCGACTCTTTGAGATCAAATTTCTTAGAGAGAGAGAAGCATATTGTGAGCATTATAATTTTTTTCAATTAATCAAAGAATTGTATGGTGTGGCTCTCGAGGACGTAGGCATGTTGCCAAACCTCATTAAATCTGGTGTGTTCTTTCTTGTTTACTTTCCTGCAAATTTATGTTTTATTTGTGGTGATTTTCCTACTTGCTCAACTCTCAAACACAAGATCCGGAAGTGCACGAATTCGATGTGATTGTTTCAGATCCCTAACAATTGGTATCAGAGCTTCGTTCAGAAGATTTGTGTGAGAGCCATGGCAGAGGAAAGCAAATCTAAGATCGAGAAGTTTGACGGATCAAACTTCGCCTACTTAAAGTCACAAATGAAGGACTATTTGTACCAGAAAGACTTGTATCGCCCATTGATGGACAATGCTAAGTGAAAGAAGAAAGAGGAGTCAGACGAGGATTGAGAGATACTGGATAGGAAAGTTTTAGAGAAAATCTGGTTATCGCTCGCTAAGACAGTCACTCATAATATTTTGAAGGATAAGACGACGGTGTGGCTTATGGAAGCGCTCGCTAAGATGTATGATCAATCGTCCGCCGCAAACAAGGTGTATCTCGTCAAAACCCTCTTGAACCTCAAGATGGCAGAAGGACGGTCCTTCACGATGTACCTCAGCGAGTTCAACACGATTGTTGATCAGCTTATCTCCGTAGACTTCACGTTCAATGATGAAGTGCATGCCCTATTATTACTATCACAGTTGCCGGATAGTTGAGCAGATTGTGTGACGACAATCAGCAATTCGGCGGAAAAGAACAAGTTGAAGCTGAGCGAGGTTGTGAGCATGATTCCATCCGAGGAGGTTAGAGGGAAAGCGTTTGAATCAGAAGGTTCAGGTTTAGTTCTAAGTTTTGAGCAAAGAAGCAGAAGCCAGAAGAAAAGGAACCAGAATAAGAATCGATCGAAGTCAGTCAAGAAGAGGTCAAACTTGAAAGTTAGGCTTATCAAAGGGAGGTGTTGGAACTGCGGCCAAGATGACCATATATCTTCAGTCTGCAAAGCGCCTAAGAAGGACACGAGTGAGCAAAAGGTTCATATCGTGCATGATACATTGATCCTTGCTATGGACAACAACTCTGATTCTTGGATCATCGACTCAGGAGCATCTTTCCACGCCACTGCTAACATGAAGCTTCTCTAGAATTATGTAGCAGGGGATTTTGAAAAAGTATATTTGGGGGACAACGAGCCTTGTAATATTGTTAGAAGAGGTTATGTGCAAATACAGATGAAGGGCACCAAGTGGAATTTGAAGAACGTGAAACACGTATCGAAGCTGAAGAGGAATCTTGTTTCGGTAGGATAACTTAGAGCAGAAGGCTATGTTTCGACTGCACCAGGGATATATGGAGGATCTTCAGCGGTACGATGGTTGTTACCCGTGGCAACAAAATATGAACTCTCTACAGCACCTCACATGCGAGTGACACCCTCGTAATTGCAGCTGGCAAAGAAAGTACGGATCTGTGACACAATAAATTGGGACACATGAGCAAAAATAGGATGAAGATTCTACATTCATAGGGGAAGCTAACCGACATGGATTTCATGGAAGTTGGTATTTACGAGGACTGTATCTTTAGAAAGCAGAAGAGAGTTAGTTTCCAGAATGATGGAAGGACACCTAAAGCTCAGAAGCTATAGTTAGTTCATACTGACGTATGGGGTCCAGCTAGTATGTCTTCTCTTAGCGGTTCAACGTACTATGTCACATTCATCGACGATCACTCTAGGAAGGTGTGGATATACTTCATGAAGCATAAGTCAGAGGTGTTCAGGATCTTCAAGAAGTGGAAGGTCATGATGGAGAACGAGACAGATCAAAATGTAAAGAGTCTAAGATCAGACAACGGTGGAGAATACGAGCTAGAGGAGTTCAAAAGGTTCTGTGTTCTAAATGAGATTCGTTTGAAGATGACTACTCCAGGAACGCCACAACAGAATAACGTTACGGAGAGAATGAACTGGATATTAACGAAGCGTGTGAGGAGCATGCGTCTACATGCAGGTCTGCTTAAGACATTTGGGTGGATGCTGTGCAGATGACAACTTACTTGATTAACCACGGGCCGTCAGTTTTATTAGATTTTGGAATTCTAGAGGAGGTTTAGAGTAGCAAGAAGATCAATCTCTCACACTTACGGGTATTTGACTGCATGACATATGTTCATATCAGTGACCACGTCAGGGATAAGCTAGAAGCTAAGTCACAGAAGTGTACATTCATTGGATACGATATTGATGAGTTCGGATATCTGTTTGGTTCAAAAGTCGCTGCTGTGGAATTCATTATAACTTTGTTCGATTACAACAAATTCGAAAGAATAATCTTTTTATATAAGCTTTTTCTAGCACAACAAAACAAAATTACAAACTCTTGAGAAACAAACACGAAAATGTCTATCAATTTCTCCGTTTTTCGTGGGACTTTGCCTGCTGCCCGGAACGCTCTTGCGATTTGCAGTGACGCCGGATTCACTGCATCGTGAAGCAGGTGGGCTTATGATTCTAAACTTTCTTATCGAAGTAGAAATTGAAACGATATCTTATCGAAAGTAAGATGTCGCTTCTCATTAAACACACAGTCAAAAGTCTTACATTTTCAATGCGCTTGCAAGAAAGAACTCAAATCTCTGCTCTGCTTCTGCTCTGGAATGCTCTAACAAATGCTCGAATCGCGTCAGAAGTGACCTAGGGGGGTATTTATAGCTCAAGGGTCAGTTAAGCTGCAAAACTCATAACAATCGAAGAAGTCAGTACGGTAGACAGTGTTCTTCTGTCTGCGCTGGTTGCGAGACAGCGTTTTGCTGTCTCGACCCGCGAGCACAGTAAATTTGCGTCTCGCTCCAGCGAGACAGTAAATCTGTCTCCGAAATAAATGGCAGTTTCTTCGCTGTAACTGTTCTAATCACGCTTTTTCAAACTCCGTTATTCTCTGGCAGTTATCCCGTGATTTTCGCCCATTGATGTTTCCCAGTCATTGGCATTAAGGACACGTGTAGGGCATTACAAATGTAGTTTTGACTATTTCAACACATGGTCTCGCTGGAGAGAAGCAAAAGACTGTCTCGCGCTGCGAGACAGCAAAGACTGTCTCGCTGGCGAGACAGAAAGACTGTCTCGCTGGCGACAGGCAGAGCTCGACTGCGTGACCCCAAGCGTCTCGCGGAGACGTTCATACTTTTTGATCTTTCTTCGTGATTTTTGAGTGATCTTCTCTAATGCTTGGATAATCTATTAGCATTTTTTGACTGCCTACAAGATACCCCCTCCAAAGTATTCCAGGACTCATTCTTTTATAGAGGACATGGGATACTTTTGGATACAGATAGATTTACTTACGATCCTTCAATGCTTGGCTGAATAGATCGTATGAATAGGACTTGTAAAATGGCCTCAATGTTTTAGCCTCTTCTGTCTTAGTACTACCAGTTCTTCGTAGAAAGCTAACGTTCTCCGGCGTCGCGTTTATCGCTGACCGTTGTCGAGATCCTTGAATCTGAAGTGATACTTGCTGCTGTGAATTCAGCATTTACCTTGAATTGTAATATCCATTGAGAAATTTCCTACAGGCTTATCCTTAAGAAGTTTCAGAATAATATTGTCTCCAGAAACTTCCTGCTTGAGGGTGGGAATACAGTTTAGATGCACTGTGTACCATGTGGATCTATGTCATCTGTATTGCCATTTGCGCTTTTTGACCAGTGCAGGATAAATTACTTAACGTGTTTCACGGAGCAAAACAGAATAGCTTTTTACTGTCTTACTGGCGAGCGACAGTATTGTTTCTGTCTCGCCTCAGGCCCAGACAGAGTGTGCCTGTCTCGCTCAGCGAGACAGAGTTTCCTGTCTCGCCCGGCTGCTATATAAGTCGGGACTTAGGGTTTTAGGATTTTTTCACTTCGACTTTTTTGCGATTTTCAGGCGATTCTTGGGCGATTTTCGAGCGATTTCGACCAGTTCTTCACCTCTTCTTCTTCTCTTCGTTTCTGACTTGGGTGGTGCTTCGATTTGAAGAGATTTCATTTGGATTTGAAAGGTTTGTTTCCCCTCTTTTCTTCAAAATCTTGACTTTCGGCAACCTGTGACTGTGCATGCATTATTTCTGAGATAAGCCTTGATATTTTGTTCAATTTTACGTTCAAAAAACCTAACTTTCCATCGGCTTTCACTGTAGATCGCATATTCATTATGTCGCCGCGTAGAGCTCGAGGAAAGGGAATCCGACCGACTGTTCAGAGCCCCGAGGAGGCTGCCCCTGCTGCACCCTCACGTGGAGGTATATTTCTTTCACCTTTTCACGAATTTAAATATTGTATTTCGTCCATTCCATATATATATGCACCTGTATTTGCTTGCAGATCCTCGTTTGTATCCTTTGAGGTACCTTCGAGAAGAGCCGGTATCCTCCTTTGAGGGGATCGACGCTTAAAAGTGTTTGTTTTGCTTTGACAAAACACACTTCATAATACACAGGGGCGATTTTACATCATCCCATATGTATTGAAAGGTTTTGGTATGCCGTTATAATGCCCGCATACCTCCTTTATACATATGGTGGATAGAAAATCGTCACACCTATTATGAGATAACGACTATATCTTATAGAATGAGATATACCGTTTTTCTCTAAAATTTTAGGATGACACATACACAATTTATGTGTATGCCTCTTTTATCAGTCCGATTTCCTTCCACCACATTTACTGCTGATGTGAT